ACACACACACACACACACACACACACACACACACACACACACACACACACACACACACGGTAAAGGTCCTCACTGAATGTTGAATGAAGTGAGGTGAGATTCTAGACAACAGCCTGGAACCTCTGCCATGGAGAAGTAAAAAGCTCTCTCAGAAAGCATCCGTGGATTTGTTGCTGTAGAAAACGAGTTTTATTGATTTCCAGCCATCTTGCTCAGGGAGGCCATAGGCTGTGATAGACATGTGACTGTGGCTGATGTTCAGAAAATGTGGCTATCTCTACTGAGACCTTGCTTTTCACTCTTGTTTTTAAAGCGGTAGTAGTGGAGCACCCTGCCCACTATCCAGATGTCTCAAAAAAGGCCTTGAAAAAGGCCTTGTGTCTCTACCTGCAAGGACAACCCATTGATGCTGTGAAGTTCAGGTGAGGGGGCCAGTCCAGGTTAGTAGGTGGTACTGAGTCCTCACTGTGGGGCCAAGGTCACTTGAAACAGTAGCTTGGCAGAAGGAGCAGCAGAAGACGAAGTGCTTCTCCTCTTTGCACGTCTCGAGAATCTTGGGGTGAGGTCTGTGCTGGGGTCAGGGCCCAGCACTCCCCCCAGTCCCTGGATCTTTCCCTTCCCTCCAAGACGCTGCTTCCTTCCAAGGAGCAAGGGGACTGAGGGAAGGATAGGGAGTCTGTGTTAGGAGAATATGCAACTGCCCTGTGCCTTTTGTTGAGCAGTGGGCAACCCACAGAAGCTCAGGCTATTGAGTTCTTCACGTACACATGTGAGTGAAATAAGATACTTAGAATTTCCTCTGAAAAGTCTCATTACAATCTCCCTGTCCAAGAATACCATGGAAAGATTCCCAGCCAAGATCCCATGTTTTCTTGCCTGTTTGAGTTGGACTGACTCCTAAAACAGAATGACCACTCTTGGCACAGGCCTGGTGATGGTGACAAATGGGCTGAGGCAGTACAGTCGTCCCTTCAGGCATGTGCACTTAGCCAGGGCCTCAGGGGGAACCCTTCTGAAACTTGCACCTGGGCTTGGGATGCTGGGTAGCTCTCATTTCCTTGGTCCCCTAAACAATGGTCTGTTCTGTTTTGATTGCCAGCAAATGTCTGCACAGCTTCATTAATCTTTCGCTGCCAGATGGGGTATTGGGCACAGATATGTGTCCCCTGCAAGAAATTTGGAGAACCTTCGAAGATGCTCTTCATGTGATTAGCATCTCAGTAAGTCAAGCTAAGAGGTCATACATGATAATGCTAGGTACAGAAAGCAAACCTCAAGAAATGGCCCCAGGTTCCTGTTTTCTGCTTAGTCTGTTTATGACCTTCTGTATAAAAGAAGCACAATTATGGCGCGTCAGTAGTCCAGGTCAAAGGACAGTCTCCATTCCAGGTATTGCTGGGCCTGAGGGAAAGATCCCTCCATCACGAGATATCACTAGAGCTCTCTGTGTTCTTTGGAGAAGTGTTAATTGCCCAAGGTCACGTATTATTTTCATTTATCAACAATCACTTCCATAAGCTTTTGAGTTTTAAATTGTTCTCCCCCTCCCTCACCAAGACAGCCTGAAATCTGATATAGGCTATACATATACATTCCTATTAAACATATTTTCACATTAGTCATGTTGTAAGGAAGAATTAGAACCAATAGAAGGAACTACAAGAAAGAGAAAACCAAACAAAACAGAAGAAAATAAAAAAGAGCAAATAGTATGCTTCGATCTGCATTCAAACTCCACAGTTCTTTCTTTGGATGTGGATAGCATTTTTCATTACAAGGCCTTTGGAGATGTCTTAGATCCTTGCATTGCTGAGAAGGGCTAAGTCTATCAACGTTAGTCATCGAACAGTATTGCTGTTACTATGTACAATGTTCTCCTGGTTCTGCTCACTTCACTCAGCATCAGTCCATACAAGTCTTTCCAGGCTGTTCTGAAGTCTGCCTGCTCATCATTTCTTATAACACAATAGTATTCCATCACATTCATATACCACAACTTGCTCAGCCATTCCCCAATGCGTGGGCATCCCCTCAATTTCCAATTCTTGGCCACCACAAAAAGAGCTGCTGTAGATATTTTTGTACATGTGGGTCCTTTTTTCCTTTTTTATGATCTCTTTGGGATACGGCCCTAGAAGTGCTATTGCTAGGTCAAAGGGTATACACAGTTTTATAGCCCTTTGGACATAGTAAGGAGCTCCCAATCTAATGGGGGAGACAATGTGCAAACCATGTAGAAACAAGCTTGGGCCAGGAGAAATTGGGGCTAAATCTCAGAAGGAAGGCACTAGAATTAAGGGGGACCACTACAGTCTGTAGAAGGTGGGATTTTGTCTGGGACTTGAAGGAAATCAGGAGGCAAAGGTGAGGCATTGGGGACACCCCAAGGAAAATGCCAGGAACATCTGGAGTGTCTTATGTGTAGAATAGCCAGGAAGCCAGTGTCACTGAATGGAAGAGTATGTTTCAAAGAGTAAGGTAGAAGAAGACTGGGAAGGTAGGAAGGCCTTTGAATGTTAAGCAAAGGATTTTGTATTTGATCCTGGAGGTGATAGGGAGCCACTGGAGTTTACTGAATCGGAGGAGGGATGTGGTGAGACTGATAGTGGAGGATGGAGTGGAGTGGGGACAGACTTGAGGCCAGCAGACCTACCAGCAGTGATTATACTAGTCCAGCCGGGGCTCCCCTCGAGTCCGAGCAGTGTCCGAGGAGAGAAGAGGAGGGTGCATTTGAGAGATATTGCAAAGGTGAAATCAATAATCCTTGGCAATAGATTGAATATGGGGGGAGGAAGAGAGAGATAATGAGGAGTCCAGAATCACTCCTAGTTGTGAACCTCGGGGGCTGGGAGGATGGTGTTGCCCCCTACTGTAATAAGGAAGCTGGGGAAGGAGAAGGGTTGAGGGGAAAAGCTAATGAATTCAGTTCTGGACACACTGAGGTTAAGATGTCTGATATGCAGGTGAAGATGATAGACTGCAGGTCAGCAAAGAGAAGTAGATTTGAGAGTCATTTGAGAATAGAGGTTCTCATTAAATCTATGAGAGTTGAGATCACCCTGTGAAGTAGCATAAAGGGAAAAGAGAAGAGGGCCCAAGATGGAGACCCGTGGGACCCTCATGGTTGCTAAGTGTGACCAGGACATGGAGCCATCAAAGGAGCAGCCAGAGAGGGAGGAGGAGAACCTGGGGAGGGAGTGTCTTGAAGACCTAGAGAGAAGAGAGGATCGAGGAGAAGAGGGTGATCAACAGTGTCAAAAGCTGCAGAGAGGTCAAGGAGAATGAGGATTGGGAAAAGACCATTGGATTTGGCAATTAAGAGATCATTGGTGACTTGGGAAGAGAGTATTTCCAGTTGGAATGTTGAGGTGAGAAGCCAGACTGTAGAGACTTAATAGAATGAGACAAAAGGAAGTGCATGGCCTTATCAAAGAGTTAAGCCATAATTTGGAGGAGAGATATGGGACAGTAGTTAGAGGGGATGGATAGATCAAATGAGGGTTTTTGGAGGAGGAGGAGGAGAAAGGAGAAATCAGCATGTTTGTAGACTGGGAGAGATTGAAGATTAGTGAGATCGTGGAGATGATAAAGGCTACAATCTGCTAGAGAAGATGGGATGGAGAGGGGTCCCTTGTGCAGGTAGAGGATTTGGCCTTGACCAGAAGAAGGGTAACTTCTTCATGGTTGATGGAGGAGATGGGGCGGGGGAGGGAACTATCTGAGTGCCATGAGATGAGGAAGAGGGGAGAAGAGGGAGCTCTTGGCAAATGGCCTCCATTTTTTTTTCAGTGAAATATGAAGCAAGGTTCTCAGCTGAGACGAGGAGGAGGAAGGAGGGAAAGGTTTGGAAAAGCGGCTGTGGTGAGTGGGATCAAAAGGTTTGCCTTGCAGCAACGAGAACCCAGTAGTGGACGAAATTAGCACGGTTTTATGATCTTCCCCAGCTTTGTTCAACATCATGAGAATAGGAGGGAAGGCAGCCATGGTGAGAGTAATCTAAGGCTGAGCCTTGGCAGGGCAAGATTGGTGATAGGATAAGGGGGCAAGGAGCTCAAGAGAAGAGGACAGTGTAGAGTTGAACTGGTTCACCAAGGGGTCAGGATGGTGAAGGGAAGAGGCTTGGTGACAGTCTGGGAAAGAGCTGAGGAGTGGAAGGGTTGAAGGTCAAGGTGAGGGCTAAGGACAGGGTTTAGGGTTGCAAGACAGAAGGAGAAGTGGAATGACAACAGATTGTGATCAGATGAGGGAATTCCAGCCATTATGAGCATGGAGGTGCTGCATTTGCAGGTGATAGCAAAATCGAGAGTATGGCCATCTCCTGCATAACTGAGGTGGATGGAAGAGGGGGTCGTGGGAACCCTTTAGTTCACAAAGACCTTTACTGGTAGCTAAGGAGAGGGGGAAGTGAAGCCGCTTAGAGAATCTTCTCCACCTGTGCCCCTAGTTCAGGTAAGAAATGCCCTGCTACCCTGTCTGGAGGAAAGGCTTTGTGCAGCAATTCAGGGTCCCCAGGATCAGGCAGAGGCAGAGAAAAAGAAGTGGTTTCCTGCTCCCCACCCCTCTACAACTCTGGGCTATGGTCTGCTTTGATGAGCAAATAAAAGAAAACCTTGTTTGGTTGTGGGGTGGGGTGTGGATTAGCTGTAAAATGTGTTGGAGCTCAATGGCCCATATACAAATATCTGTAAACCAGCCCATATGTGATGGGAGCGCATAGGCAGGTGGACCAGGAGAGTGAGATAACAGATTGGCACAAGATGCATTGACCTGTGTGACCTTAAGCAAGTCACTTAACATTTATAAGTCTTAGTTTCCTCCTTTGGAAAGTGAGAGGGTTGCCCTTGATTTGATAAGGTCCCTTTGAGGTCTAAATCTATGATCCTGTCTTGCTGGGAATCTTCCGGCATCTAGGAGATGACAGTTTCTCTAACTTTACATTAGTAATTTGATTAGTAACTCAAGCACCTTAGGAGAATTTGTAAAGCTCCCTTTGGGAAGAAGAGTCCCTTACTAAGCTCTGAGTCTTACCTGGGCCTCCTAGCATGTTTTCTATAGTAACACAAATGGCAGTTGGCTTTGCCTGAGCCCCCTCCTCCAATAAGTAGGTGGGTATAGGAGGGAGAGAGGGAGAAAGCAAGGGTGGGGAAGGGGGAGGCCACGCAAGGGTTGCATTCTCTTCTGGCTGCTTTCTTTCCCCCCTGAAATAGCGTAGCCCCATCTCTGGTTCTCTGTTTTCCAGGTGGAAAGGAATAGAGAGTGAAAAGAGCCTTTCAGAGGGACTCTGGTCAGAGCTTGAATGCTTCTCTCTGATCTGTTTCCCAGTTCCTACTGCTTGTCTCCCAAAACATAATTGGATAAGTTAACTTTTCAGGCAGAGATTAATTTGCTAGTTAGACTATTTCTATGGTGTAGCTTGTTTTTCCCATTCAAGGGATGGCCTATTCTGGTTACTGATGTGACTTTTCTTTGTTGAGGGTGCAAGTTGTTTTGTTCACAAGAACATCTTGTGCATATTTGTTTTCTCTAGTTACCATTCATTCTTTATTGATCAAATGACCTTTTATCAAGCACCTCTATCCACTGGCACATACTGGCTGTTAGAGAAAGGTAGATGTGACAAGAAGATCTGCTCCCGCCCCCCCCCTCCCCCTCTCCCCGCAGAAAGCAGCCAAGTGGCTACAGAAGCCAGTGCCAGAATCTTGGCATGGCTTTGAGAAAGACAGACTGTAGCTTGTCCTAGGTTCAATGTGATTTGACAGAGATCTGGCAAAGAGTCTTTGTTTTAGAGTAAGGATCGTACATCTTTGAAGGTAGAAGAAAGCTTCCAAATCATGACACGAGATTTCAGAGCTACCCAGACCAGTTGTGGAATGAAGATTTGGAACATCTGTCCCAGGCTCTTTTTGGCCACTGATGACGCTGAGATAGAATCAGTTCACCTCTTTCTATGTTTGATCCTTAACCATGTCACTTCATACTTTGTGTTAGCTCAGAAAAGGACTCTTGGAATCTTCTCTGCCATTATGTAGATCTCCTCTATGTTGAGCCTTTTCTTCACCTTCTTGCCTTCACTGAAACCCAACTGCACTCTCCTGTGGAAACCTTGCCTTCTCTTGCTCCCTTGGACTCAGTGGGTGAGGAGGAAGCACCTCGGCCCCCATTGCTACTTTGGGTACAGAAATATACCCTCATCATTCCACTTCTCATGTAAAGTCTATGT